GGTACATACGCATTTGATTATATTTATCTGCTCATTGTTTTCTCTGTAGGATCAGTCTTGTTCACTATACAGACTAAGACATGTCAAATGAAACCTTTTTTTAATAAATTTAATCCATAAATAGGTGCATATGCACCGAGCTCTTTTGGTCTCCCATATAATTTGTTACAAGTTCCTCGTTCATTCAAGAATATGATGATTGTGATGCACAGACTTTCTCTCAGCATACTTTATCAACTTGCATATACTTCATTTCTACATACCCAACTATAGATATGCAATAGTCAGCTTTCCATGTTTTCTTTATCCCTGAAAGAAACAGGGATACTTAAGAAAAGCCACCACATGGGAAATATTCTCTAGAGCACAGACTCTTCACCGTCAAGATGCATGTGAACTACGATAAGAATGTGTAACTCAAGGAATAAATGTAAACAATGTGTGGATTTGCAGAACTGTATTATTTCATGCAGAACCAGGCAAGATTCTCAGTAAAAGTAAGATATGATTGTATACACATAAGGCAAATCTGCACATTAAAAGTAAATTTTCAAAGCAATTATCCTTTACAACTAAATACAAATCTCTGTGCTGACTGTTAAGGCACTGCATACAGTTGCTTTTGTCAAGCAACATGAAAGACACCGTACGTTGCATTCGTGCCTGGAGACATGCAGGATGTAGAGAGCTACACAGTAATCAAGCGTACTCCTAGACAATTATCCATTAGTCGTATCTTTACTTACTTTTACCTGAATTTAGTATTTTACATACTCCTAGACAATTATCCATTAATCGTATCTTACTTTACTTACTTTTACCTGAATTTAGTATTTTACTTGATAAACAAAACCTAGAAGTCTCAACTCTTTTGCTATCAAAAATACTTTCATCAGTCAACACCGTACCATCTGAAGAGCTGAGAGTTCTTCTGTTAGTCGAGAAATCTGCACATTATATTGCTTCTTTGCAGAGTCTACCTGTGATCAGAAACAACGTAAAACTAAAAAATGAATACTGTGAGCTATTTTTCCATCCATATATATTCATAAATATGTTATCTATAGGTGGTGCATGTACATAAATATGGAAATATATGGGACGGCAATAACTGAAAATTTTACGACATAAAAGTTAGAAAAAATGTTAATTCTCAATCCATACTACTTTAACTAAGGTTGTTTAGAAAAAAAAAAGCAGAAAGGAAGACATCACAACAAGGCCTTCCAAAAAGAACAGACTACCAGGAAAGCTGCTGCCCACTAGGTGCACATTATTTGCAATTTGTGCAACATTTTTATATCACTTAACAGAAGTATTTAATACCTGGAAAAACATGACAACTTCCACTAGGTGCACATTATTTGCAATTTGTGTAACATTTTTATATCACTTAACAGAAGAAGTATTTAATACCTGGAAAAACATGACAACTCATAGTTTAAAATTTCACTTTTTATGCTTCTGATAGATTCAATTTTACTGAGATAATTTCAAAATAAGAAATCGGACATTTCTAAATTCTGATTAGTAAATCATTGTCACAACTAGAGTGCTTATCCTTGTTGCTCTTCAGCTCTTGTACCTTCTCCAAATTATGTACGACAATAAATATCACAGTTTTAAGTAATCCACACAATGTTTGTGATTCTTTCAGGTAACCACCAAACAGAAGGCACAAACCATCCTTATCCTCATTTTAAAGGCTCTGAAAACGTAGGCAGTATATTCCTGGAACTTCTCAAAATTAAAGGATTGGAAAGAAAAAGAATCCTTGAATCTCTATACAGTACATATGCACATTGTGTCATTGTGAAGAAAGTGAAAGGAGGCAAAATCAATTATATCACTGAAAACTTACAAACAGGTAATTGCTTTACAGTGTTGTCCACTTGCAACAAAAGACATTGCCAACACATGCCTGTATTAAGCTTTTATTTCCTCTGGAGTTTGCCGTAAAGTAAAGCAAGTCTCTCTGACATGCAGATAATTACTGAGAACCTCCAGGTAGATTAGTCTGCATTTTAACTGCAGATGGGACACAAGATGGAGAAAATTACTTTTGTGACTAGTCTTTTATCAGAAGACCTTCAGTTTTTCAGCCGCTCGTAACAACAATAACAAAAATCAGGAAGAGACTACATTTTTTTTAGTAATTTCTCTCCCAAATTCGGATTTCTAAGTGTGCTGTGATAGTGAGCCTTTTGATTGTTAGCTGTACTTGGTAGAAGAGTCTTACTTGCCTCAATAGGGGAGTATTTTTAAGTACCGAGATGCCAAAAAAAAGGGTCATATAACTTTCAACAGCTCCTATCATGCGAATGTACATGCTAAGCTTCCATGGCCATGTATCATAAATTAAATCCCTTGATACCAATACAACACTCAGACTGTTGATGTGCTACTGAACAGAATCTCTGAAGTGAAAGTGCCATTCTTTACCTCTTCACAGTGCAGCCTGCTCTATAGCAGTGTCTGCACAGACATCAGCACTTTGGGTTCTTGAGAGATTTAAGAATATCATTTAGTTCAGAAGAATGTATGTCTAGATCACAAAGCTGGGGTACAGTACTGTCAGCATGCTGCCTTGCTACCTACGCCATCAAAACACTTGTAAGAAAACTGCTCATGATGACCACGCACCACTGATAGCTTTTCATGCTGAGGAAAACCAAAAAATCTGCCCATTCTTTCTAAACATCATCACTTACTGCCTTTCTGATTCTTGCAGCGGTATCTTCTGCAAGTTGAGACATTTCGTCTTTAATTTTTTTGATTTCCTCTTCCTTTTGTTTCTCCCCAAAGAGCGCCTAGAAGAAAATAACAACTTGAAATAGTACTGATAATATTTCAGTGGTGACATAGTATCTAGCACTGTGAGAAGAAACCACACACAGTCACTGTTCAAAAAAAAAAACCTTTTTTCCTTTTTAATTTGGAGTAGCTGACACCAAGACCCAATAAGAAAACAACAACATTTTGCACTAAATGAACATTCTTGTAAATCAGAACCACACAAGAAGTTAGTGTCAGTAGATGCCTTTTTCTCTTGGGACTTTAAGATTTTGGCTGGACACTGTATACACACACACACACACACACACACACACGTGTTCCTACATATAGCTAAGCATTTTTTTATGGTTGATATACTAAATTACTCATCTCCCAGAACGTAAAGGAATAAAAATGTATAAGTAACTAAGGAATGTGTGTGCAGTCCCTTTCACAGTGGGTAACAATGAGCCTAACAGCTCTTTAGCATTGACGAATGGTGAGAATTACAGAAAAAGGTGTAGCGAGGAGTCCTTCCTCTGGATGATGCAAGAAAGCTACTGATGTTAAAGTGTAATAGGAGACACTGGTCTGAAAAGATTACATGGTATAGAATTCTTGATGGGCGAGATGAAAAATCCTAGGTGGCACATAGAGAATATGTAGATGTGTTAAAGGGAGAAAAACGTCCCTATTGGATGACAGAAATCCACCCTGTAGGTTACTCACTCCAGGCAGTAACATGCCACTTTGTCACTCACGCTCTCTTTTACTGCTCTCATTCAATTCAACTTTTTACTTTGTTTCTCAAACGACTTCTTCAATATTCTTCTGATGTCTTTTTTTAAGCTTAGCTTTGCGTGTTTTATAACGGTAACATAGCAGAAGCAGTATTAGTATGACAGCTTGTTACTTCCACCCCTCAATCTCTTACAGAGCAGGGAGAAACCTCTGTGGCCACAGATTAAGACACAAAGATTTGACCAATGTATATATTATGCTGCTTTTTATTTTTTATCCAGTTTGTTAATGTACTTCCCAGTTTGAAAAATTCAGGATGTTTTAGCCAGAGCAGTAAATTAACAAATGCCTGCAAATTCCAGTTTATTCTTCCTACAGTGTTTATCTAAACTGTTACTTATAACAAGCCACTTAGTTATCTGTAACTGTTCAGTTACTGTCTTAAGAGACACAACTTACATCACAATAATTTTTACTGAGCTACTTCTTTCTGTCAACTTCACGTGAGTTCGTAGCAAGTGATCTGAACTACTTTTGGATGAAAAATGGTGTTCTGACACTGCTCTGATGTACCAATACCTAGCAGACTGGAAATGTGATTTAATACTCCTTACCAGTACTTTTCAAATGATACGAGTGTCTTCTGGTTTTTGAACTCTGAAAAAAACCTGATTTTATTTTTACCTTGCATTCTTCATATTCTCCCCCCTATCAGGCTGCAGGGGAATGCAGTTAAGGATCAAAATATCTCACTAAGAAAAAGGAACTGAAAAGTCCAAAGGTGGCCATGAACAGCTGGAGGATGTAAAACTTCATTTTTCACCCCTTTCTGAACCAGAGCCTAACAGGTAAATGGAATTGTAGAAATGAGATGCAGAAAGTTATGAGGAACTTATGAAAAGATGACACCAAAGGGTTTCCTACATGGCTATAAATATATGGGAAGAAAGACTATAAACAAGATGATAATCCTCTTTTGTATAACAAGAAGAATCACAAAAGTTTAACTGCCAGTAATGACCGGAACCCTA